CTACTACTAGCCACCAGCTAGCCAAGTGATACGAACCTAACTTCAAATAGATTCTCTAAATTCTATATTTAAATTTTAACCGACTTTAACGGATTTTCAACGGTTCTTCAAAAGTTTTCCATGGTTTCGCCCAGTTTCACCGTAAATATATTTTATTTGTAGTTTGAAGTCTCTCTTGAAGCTTAGACTAAGAATACAAAATTGAAGTTCAAGTAATGAATGAAGATACTCTTTCATTATTTATTCATTCAGTCTCCTTATTTTTCTTTGGTATTTGATTAAAATAACTTGGTTGTAGATTGTAGAACTTGTGAGTTGTGTGGTTTATTTGAACGTTAAGTAATTACTAGTTTTAATATCATATCCATGTCTACTCAAAAAAAATTAGGTTAGCATTTTTATTTAAATTCATTTTGTACATATACATACTTACATTGCTACAATCTCTATTTAATCATGCGATTTAACTAAGTTTATTATCTAAATTTGAAGTAGACCTATGGAGTGTAGAGGTAAGTAAACCTATAGGAAAACTAAATATTTAGTTTTGCTAGGTTAGGTTATTTGAATAACCGGTTAATTTGTGTCGGTTAATTTTGTCAAGTTATTATTTTTTAAAGATAATTCCGGTTAACCTATAACCGGTTTTTTACCAATAACCGCCCATCTCTACTTGCAAGCGTCTTTCGTCGCCACCACTTCCCCGCCAGTTATGTGACTTGCTGGGAGAGTGCTATCGGATGGAGCCCTTCTACCAAACTTGCAAAATGTAAACAGTATCCGAAAGCACTCTCCCAGCAAGTCGCAAAACTGGCGGGGAAGTGATTACGGCCAAAGACGCTTGCAAGTGTAAACAGGTTGGGATCATAGACTTAAAATAAAATATAGACTACACTATTTACATCTCAACGTGGACAGACAATATTTTTTGTACACATGTTTACTTCTGGGTACAGTCGACCGAGCCTTCCTCATCCAGCCTATGTTGTCACGTCTTTATTATTATCAATATTTTTTTTCTTGCTATACACATATATTGAGATATTAATTCTACATTTTAATAAAGTAGGTTTTAATATTCCATAGATGTATTAAATAGTCCTTATACTACTAAATTATAAGTCGGATACTGTTTAAAAAGGATAAGTTCTTTACAATATGACAACACCGATTAGAGGCGAGGGAGCCTATTCATTCATTTATTACCTTGTAGTACGCGTGGCAAGTGTGCGGTAAAGCTTTGATGCCGCTATGTCCCCGGCTGTATTAACGCATTTTCTTAGTTTGTAGTCCTTAAGTGTTTATTTTATTGACTTTTTCTGTTCAAGAACTATAAAATATGGTTCGCCAGTGCCAAATTTGCAAGAAATTTGACTTAAATAATCCATTTAAGTCTTGAAACGACTTTCGACCGGTAGACAACTCTCAATTTGCCCATTGGGAGCCAGTGGCGTTGTTGTAGAAAGGCGCTTATTTAGATAATATTTTAGTAAAATGTAAAATCTGAATTTTTTCTCATTACATTATTTACTTACTTACATTGTAACAAAGTCATAATTATAACCCTGTTAATAATTAATAATGATTTTATTAAAAATATGGTTTATTCTAAAATTATCTTGAGCATATAAAATAACATACAAGAATTTTAAATTGATATTACATTATGAAACAATATTTTTTAATATACCGGGTCGTCTCAAAAGTGGCTCACCCCCTATAACTTTTTTATTTTTTCAGATAAAAAAAACAGATTTGTATGTTATAGGTATATGACATAAATTAGGATTTATTGATGTATTCAGTTGTTTTTGGTCTCTTCCTGTTTCACCGAAATGATTACATCTTTTTATTTTTAAAGGCAACCTCGGTATATTGCTACTTTATTCGATAAAAAATGACACTCTGAATAGAATGACATATCATATGTCAACTTTTGACATTGTCGCTGAAAAACAAATCGTATTTTAAATTTCAATCCAGGGTGCCATGGTGTTGTTAAAAACACTAAGTTTTAATCAAGGAGCCTTGGAAAAATAGTTTTGATCGTCTAATAGGTTTCGTGTCTTGTCTAAGTCGGTTAAAATATGTACAAATCGTATTTTTAATCATACATATGTCAATTTTTTCAAATGGAACAAGGGTAACTCATTAGCATATTTGGAAAAAGCATTTTTTTATGAATATATTGATACCACACACTTGGTATTTCGAGTCAAATTGTCGTTATGAACCGCGTGTTACAATTACAATTAAACCATAGGCGAGAATGTCAAAAGTTGACATATGATATGTCATTCTATTCAGAGTGTCATTTTCTATCGAATAAAGTAGAAATACACCAAGGGTGCCGTTTAAAAATTAAAAGTTATATTCATTTCCGGTGAAACAGGAAGTGACCAAAAACAATTGAATGCGTCAATCAATCCTAATTTATGTCATGTACTAACATACTAAATCTTGTTTTTTTATTTCAAAAATATAAAAAATTATGGGGATGAGCCACTTTTGGGACGCACCAGTATAATAAAGACAGTACCGAGTTAAATAAATGTAGTTTTCATTTTATCCACTTCCTATCACCTTCCTTGCTTTAATGGAAGAGATTTATGTTTTCTCTAATTTACATAAGACATCACATAACCAGAAAAAAATTACAACAATCATATTTTTTTTCTCTCCCTGTCGCCGATTCTATTATATCTGTGGAATAGATCCTGTTTTGATTAATATTAGGGGTTGTAAATGTTTGACTAAAATTAATAATTTATTATTAATTTCAAAAATTACGTAATTTCGATTATAAAATTTCTTCTGTAACGTGTATTTTATTATTTTTATCCTTTTTGGACTCTAAGACGTTTTTTCTAAACTTTTATTTAAAAAGCCTGTCCTAAATCTTAATAAAATATAAAAAAGTTTAAATACGATATATTTTTAATTTAATTATAGCTTCATTAAAATAAAAAAATTACCCGGCTATGATACGGAGAGTTCATGTGTACTTGAGAAACGGAAGACAGTGTTGTGTTTCTCGGCAGAGTCGTCAGGGAAAGGCCGTTACGACAGAGACAACCTATCTATCGCTCGTGTCGCACTCGTTATAACCTAAAACAATAACACAACAATAACAAGACATTGTCTGACCGCATGTTCCAACTATTTATGAATGAGATGCTCAGTCTATATTTTATTTTAAGTCTATGGTTGGGATAGTGCTCTGGCAAGTTAAAATTTATTTCCGTCTTGTTGAAAGTTTTTGGTGCAAGTGATTTTCGAAGGCGTGTTAAATAAGGATATTAAAATCAAATTCTGTAAACTTTGTTAAAATGGAGAAACGTATGTGGTCGAAAGAAGATACCATCACTTTGATTAATATATTTGAAGGATTTCCGGAATTGTGGCATATCCAATTTTGATATTTTATTGATTATATCCAATTTCGAAATTAGTTGTAGTAAAAAGTTAAAATCGACTTCTGACATTCGCAGAAAATTGTTTTGGGTCTTCATTTCTTAATTCTTTTAATAACATCGCGTAAGCTCCAAAACTAGGCTTTCTGGCAATCCATTCTTTAAGCCATATTCTTTTTCTAGATTTTCTTGACTGTTTGCGTAAAATTGCAACAAGAAGAACAGTGGCTGCAGCTCTCTTTTTACGGCGCGACATTTTTCTACTAAACAATATACCTATACTAGTGCAATATACACCATACCGTGTATACGTGCATGCAATTTCTTGCTCAAAGCATATGCCTAGAAAATACTTGTTGCAAAAAATTGCTTTAAAATTTGCTTAAATGTAAACACTATCGCAAGTTACTCTAGCAAGTTCTATCTCAATTTTCTATCCCGTGTAAACTACGCTTTACTGTTCTTACTTCTGATGTTATTTTGAAGTTTCTATAATGTTTATTCGCAATTATTGAAGCTTAAATACGTTATTTTATTATTTAGCATAATATTGCTAAATGTATTAGTTATATTTTTTGTATTATGTTTTTATAGGAATTTGCATCTTTAATTGGAAATGTTAAGTTTTTTTTCTAATTTAGTTAAGTTGGTTTCGAGGTTGGTTGATGTTAGATTTAATTTTTAAGCTACTATTTTTACCTATGTGTTTTCTTTTTTTTTCGCTTGTGTTCATTACTTGTGGTCATGTTTACTTTCTCATGACTTAATAATTTGATATTATTTTCATTTGAAACTCTCAATTTTTTATCTGTTTTACTTTTGAGCATTCCTTGCTTGCTAATTGACAAACTCCACAATCGTTGAACGAAAATATTTTAGTAGTTCTGGAAACTTTAATTAATACTACCAATTAGCGCGCAGATCTTTTTGGCCATCACAGAACCGGACCTCGGTAACGATAATTAAAAAATTATTTTTTTGTTACGTGAGAAAGTCCTTTGATACTTTCTAGCGGTCGAAATCCAACTCTTCTAAATAAGTAATGATGCTATTTCTTATCGTTGTTGCTTTTTTTCTCTTTTGAAGTTCCTATAATATTTATTATGTTATGTTTTATTAGATATTTGCATTTTTAATTCAATATTTTAAGGCTTTTGTCTCAAATTCAGTTAAGTTGGTTTATGTTGTTTGATGTGAAATTTAAGTTACCGATACTTTTTTCTTTACTTGTGTTAATGTTTGTGTTCATGCTAATTTTTTCATGACTGATTACTTAATAATTTGTTATTATTTTCCTTAAAAATCTCATTTTTTTTTATCCATTTTACTACCTTAGCACTAGAGTTTCCGGTTCCGGAAACTCTAGTGCTAAGGTATACCACCAAACTCCTACAAAAACGGAAATTTTATAACCATTTAAGTTAATTCTTATTTCTTCCATTACCCAAACACTCTTTTGATAAGAGCCAATAAATAATGTTTCGGCTATAAGCTATTTTCCGACGACACAGTCACTCTACTATTAATTAAAATAAAAATAAAAACAACACTAAAAACAAAAACCAAAAAAAAAACATAAATACTTACCGCATCCAAGGAATATCCTTTGGAACTTTGGTAATATCCTGAGATGCCCGGCGTGACCTGCGATACAAGCAAAAAAGAAATGATGATAAAGGGCATGCACAAGCAAAATTAAAACTGAATGTTAAAAACAAATAAAAAATAAAAAAATAGCTTGACAAAAATATATTGTTTAGAAGTTGAATATGTTTGTGGATATGTATAAATCTGTGATAGGTTCATTACTGCAATTTACTGAAGAATTCTAAGGCTACTGATTAATTAAAAAATAAAAGACACTTTCTATAAAAAGCAGAAGAGTAGTGAACCCTTTGTCATAAATATTTAAGTAATGTCTTTTACAATTTGTCGTTTTACAGTATTAGACACATTTTCAATGTATTCTATTGATGCTGTGAATAGAAAAAATAAACTCTAATTTAGAAACTTACAAACAAAACTCTAAAAACTTTTAAAATTTAGGTTATGAAAGATAAAAAGCAATTAAAGAAATTTGTTGTTCATTTATTTATATTATTGTTTCATTTTCTTATTTATTGATTAGACAAATTTGTGTCTCAATATCTACAGGGTGGTCCAAACTGTATTCCGGAAACTTCGGAAACATATTCTGCAGATAAAAATAAGTAAAAATGTTCGTCCAAATATATGTCCTAAAATGTTTAGTTTCGGAGATACAGGGTGTTAAAATTTAATTTTTATTTAGATTTTTTTCAAATAATTTCTGAAGTAACGTCAATATTTGGATGAAAATTGGTGTCTGGGAGTTTTTTGACATGAGAAATTTGATTTTGGTGTCAACTTGACTCCTATTTGTAGGGGGCGCCACCTACATGTATTTTAACTGTTTTGAAGACTAATAACTTTTTGTCCGTACCTGTATAAAACCCTACTGGGTTAAAAAATATACATTTCCGGTATTTTTTACGTAATGTCTCTTGGTAAATTGCTAAGAGTAACCGTTCTCAAGATAATTAGAATAGAAATAGTCAATACATGTCATTATTGACAAAAAATAAACATGTTTAGTAGATAGTTATTTGACTGAAATGATAAATTATGGAAATTTTTTTATATATATAAATTTTTCTTCGAAAAAATGATGATAAAACAGTTTCTGTTGAATTTTTGGCACAAAAACATTTAAAATTTATGATTTCAGTCTAATAACTAATTAGTCAACATGTTTAATGTATGTCAATGATGACTGGTATTGATAATTTCGGTTCCAAATATCTCGAGAATTATTACTCGTAGCGATTTTTACTAAGAGACCTTTTTTACGTAAAAAACGTCGTAAATGTATATTTTTTTACTCAGTAGTTTTATACAGGTACGGACGAAAAGTTATTACTCTTCAAACCAGTTAAAAAATACGTAGGTGACGCCTTCTACAAGTAGGAGTCATATTGACATCAAAATCAAATTTCCCAACAACTCCCAGACACCAATTTTCATCCAAATATCGACGTTACTTCAGAAATTATTTGGAAAAAATCGAAATAAAAATGAGTTTTTTACACCCTATATCTCCGAAACTAAGCATTTTAGGACATACATTTATACGAACTTTTTTACTTATTTTTATCTGCAGAATACGCTGCCGAAGTTTCCAGAATACCTTTGTAGTTGTTCGAACTACCCTGTATAGAGATTCCCCAAAAATAGTAGAATAGGAAATTGGACTATATTATTTTTGTCAAGCTACTGGGTTAAAATAAAAAATAAATTGGGAACGGTGCAATATCATGCGCGTGATCATAAAATATGATGTGTGATGTATAAATCACTGTAATCGTGCAAAAATAGTGCGTTGTTCAAAATGAAACTAATGCCACTTTTATTATAAATTCAAAATGGTCGGTATTTTAAATGTATTTTGAAATAATCTTATACAGGGTCCGACAACACTTAAGCATCAGTTTCATTTAAAAAACGAAATAAATATAAAAATAAAAAATGCTATCACGAACATAAATTGATGTAACCTAGCCTAGTTTTAAAAGTTTCGATATTGAATTATGTGCTTTTATGATAGTGAAACACATCTAAAATTAGATGAAGATAGTGTTACCAAGTTTATGACAGATGACATTATCTAATACCATAGAGGATGTTAACGAAATATACATTTAATGTGAAAATATGTCATTCAATACATAAATAACAAACCTATCATCGTTGAGTGACCAAAAACGTTATCAATGATACCATTTCATTATATTAGGAAAAATAAAGATCTTAATTCATTTATTTAAAGTTAATATCATGGTCGATCTAACACAAAATGAAGAGTCGACTTCAGGACTATACCACAAACTATACATTTAAATAATGACCAAACCATTTTATGATCTTCTAAGAAATGCTAATTGTCGGGTCAGCTAGTTTTTTATATACTTAAATTCAATATATGACATACATTTTTAATAAAATATTCCATATCTGATTAAAATTAAATTGGTAAAGTCATTTCAATAACCACCGCGACGCCGTTTTGTTTTTATTTTATGTGTAAACAGGTGTTTTAATTAGCAACTAATTCGAAGTGTACAGGGTGGACCAAATTGGACGCTTTTAAAAGGAAACACCCTTTTCTATGGGAGATAGACGAAAACTAATATCGGTGTCTGGAGTTCAAATTTTATCAAAAACATGATGGTGAAAACCGCACATCGATATCTGTTATCGTTTCGGAGTTACGGGGTGTTTTTCAAAAATGTGCATTTTTAACAAATCGTTGTAACTTTTTTGCTACGGAAAATTTTGTATTTTTATGAAAACATTTCCAAAGCAACTTTTTACGTAGAATTTAATGGTTTAAGTATATTTTTTTTAAAATTGATAATTTAAGAATTATCAACAGAAAATTTGATTTTTTATATGCGACACCTTGTATATTTTTAATTCAATGAAAATAATTTAAAATTACCGTTCCAAAAAATATGGCATACTTGATATTTTTCTCGATTCCTCTGTGAGATATAGAATTTTGAAAAATTCGCCCACTTTGAATAAGTAGACATACATAGACATAAAAGATCTAATAATAATGTTGCGGACCCGTGTGGACTCGACCTAACCTAACTATATGTCCCGCCCTCAGATGACCTTAACATCGCAATAAAGAATAGACACCGTAATAATTCATTCGAAGTTTCGAGAAGAATCGAGTTTCACTGGAATGGAGTAGTACATACGAGAACAATCGAAACCTTCTCTATGCACCTAATAATCTATGGACTATTCGAGAAATCTTTAGCTGTGGGTATAGAAGCCGGCGGCTGGGGCCTAAAGAGGGCAGACATAAATAGACGAGTACAGTTGACGCGCTAAAATTCAAAATAAATTATTTCTAGATAAATAGTTATAAATCGTTTGTAAATAGTTCTTTAAGTCTTTTATCGTTATTGTTTTTGTTAATAAGTGTTAAATAAATAGTGTTTAAATAAATTGTGACTTTCTATCCACACGGAACCGACGAAAAACGTAACAATAATAAAAATAAATAGCAAACCAAGACATGAGATTTTGCTACTGGTGATCGACATGTCAACTGTCTTCTGTTATGAACAGATGGGACCGTTTTTGAACATTTCTCGCAGAATTCATTAACTCAGTGTCAACCGCTAAGTACTTCTAATTCTTGTCTCGATTATATGGGCAATTTTAAAATAAGAACCTTTATTCTTCCGCAAAGATAAAAATAGGCCCTAAGTCCGGCGGCCTCGACGGCCAACGGCTTGGATCCTGGTTAGCTATTCAATTATTCTGGAGAGAAATTGGCTGCAAAAATTTGCTGATAACTGAGGCGGTGCCCCGTCTTGCTGGAAAAATATGTTTTCGAGTTCCATTAGGGACAGATCATCATAAGGGGTCCAAAGCCTACTAGTAAAAAGTGCGGCGATCTTTTAAAATTCTGTATTTCGAAGGGGACTATTACAACAAAATATCAAATGGTGCTATATTTTTGGAAAAGTAATTTTAAGTCCTTTTCAGTTAATTAAAAATTGACAGGCTGTCCCAAACTAGCGATTTGTTAAAAATACACATTTTTGAAAAACACCCCGTAACTCCAAAACGATAACAGATATCGATGTGTGGTTTTCACCATAATATTTCTGATAAAAATTGAGCTCCAGACACCGATATCTATCTATCTCCTCGAGTCTATCTCCTATAGAAAAGGGTGTTTCCCCTTAAAAACGTCCAATTTGACCGACCCTGTACATGTTTTTTGTTTCTTACATGGTAGACAATCTTGACGATTAGACATCAAGACAGTTAAGCCTGGAAATAATTTCAGTTCATTGAATTTATAACATATTTTTTAATTAAAGGTAGTTTGATCCATAGTCTCTAAGGCGACAATCCCATGCATTTAAATCGACTGTTTAATGTCGCTACCTAACAATCATCTTCAAACAAATAAGTATATCATCAAGCTTCAAACTACCAACTAGACAATAAAAATATTTAAACAAAGTACGTGATTTGTTTTTCAAAGCTATTCAATTTATATTTTTACTTCTGCTACCATTTCTGTATATCCAAATTGTAATAGGTATACCGCTTAAGCGGTCCGTACATTATCAAACAAATTGCGCAACAAAGCGATGCGCAACGTTCCGTTGCACAACTGCATCACCCATGCACTTAGTAAAATTTTTATCAAACTTCTTATTAAAAGTTATGCATTGTTCGAGAAACAATCATGTCCTCAATTGCCATTGCCTCAATTATTATCGTATATACCCTAGATGATGTTAATGATACCAAAAAACAAAAAAGAAAACAAAGAATTTGGATGAAAGAACTAAAATATTGTACAACGAAGCGCAAAACACACATGCGCTGCGCAAACAGTCCTGTTGCACAAAAGAATTCTAGCATTATTGAAACTTCTTATCAAACAATTGCGCAACCCATCAAACGTTACCATACATTGGCAACTCGTTGCGCAACAGCCTGTGTTGCGCAATTTGTTTGATAAATGGGCCGCTTTATAAATAGTCTTTAAGAAATAAAATAAAATCCAAAGGGGAATATAAAATATTTTT